TAAGAGATTAAAAATATATATATTTAGATAAATTTAATGGATTAATTGACAAAAAAACTAAAAAAGTGCATTTTTCATAATTAAAGGACTAAAAAAATGCACAAAAAAGTTGAGAGTCAAAAATTATGTAAAGTTTTAAAGTTGAGGGACCAAAATTGACATTTAACCAAAAATAAATCTACTAAAAATCTCCACCAAATGTCTGGACACTTAAGGAAAGGTGCACTACAGCACCGAAAAATCTTTTATTGGCGGTTAAAAGTATGATTAAATTCAGATGAGGCAAGATGTGGTTATTGTTACTATGAAAAAAGGTTCAACCCTTATTTGCACTTTTTTTTTTTATCAATATCTTAAATTAATTTTCATCTTAATCAACACCTTTTATAATTTAAAACCTATAAAAATATCAAATTACTAACAAAGTTATGGTGCAAATGGAGGGTTTGACCATAAATTCAAAATACAAATAGAAGGTTGAACTTTTAATTTTTGAGTTTTTTATTGGTCTTGAATAGAAAAAGGTCTTGACTGAAACAAAAATTAGTTTATGGTATTGATTATGGAAAGAAAAAATGTGTTGGGTGTAAATAGGCCTTTGGCCCTACAAAAAATGTCAAAGTTATTAATTTTAAAATTTTTTTAAATAATATCTAAATATATTAGTTTGTTGATTGATTAATTTTAATTTATTAGTTAATAAATATCAATTGTTCTATTCATTATTAACAAATAATTAAAATTATTAGTTGTTTTCGTTAATCAAATTAAATAAAAATTAATATTTTAAAGATAATATTTTATCATTTTTTGTGACCTTAACATTCTAGACATGACCATAACCATGCATGCTATTTTATGACAGCTATAGCATGAGATAGACGACCAGGAGTGATTATCGAGAATAGGGATGTCTTATATTTGTAGATATTTAATCTATGAATAATAATTAATATATTATTTAATTTAATATATTTAATAATATATTTATTAAAAAATTATTATTTTAAAATTTAAATTTAAAATAAAAAAT